AGCAGAAATGGAGGAGAGGGACTAGGAGTAAAGAGAGTGGGTGACAGAGCCAAGTCTTGACCAAGTGTGGCAGACAAAACAATGCCCCTCCCCAAACATGTCCACATCCTACTCCCAGGAACCTGGGACTATGTCTCCTTACATGGTAAAAGGGACTCTGCAGATGTTAAGGATCTTGAGATGGCAAGATTATCCTGGATTACCCAAGTGGGACCAGTGTAATCACAAGGGTCCTTAGAAGAGGGAGCCAGGGGGATCAGAGTCAGTAGTAGGAGAAATGACTGAAGTAGAGGCTAGAGTGATGCAAGAAAGAAGTCATGAGTCTAGGAATGCAGGCAGCCTCTAGAAGCTCAAAAAGGGAAGGAAACAGATTCTCTCTTAGAGCTTCTAGAAGGATCCAGCACTGCTGGCACCTCGATTGTAGCCCAGTGAGACTTATGGCACCAGAACTGCAAGGTAGTAAATTTATGTTGTTTTAAGCCACTAAGTTAGTGGTATTTTGTTATACCAGCAATAGGAAATGAATACACAATGTCAAAAAAAGGACAATAAAGAGGAATGGCCAAGATAGAAGGAATCAGAAGTTGGGGTGGGGACTGATATATCTGAGTTTACAGCTTCATAGATGGGAGTCCACCCAGATGATAAGCCCAAGGTCCTTGTCCACTGCATAACTTACTAAAGTAGAGCAGGGGTGAAGGTTGTTGGAACTGAAGAGGTCAAAGGATGTTGAGCCTGGGACTCATTTTATAATAAGGGTACCAAAACAGAATACTGAGAGCATAGGTGAATGAAGTAGAAGCAATCAAATGCCAGTGTCCTCCAGGGAGGAGCAAAAGTAATTAGAAATCAGAAGGATACCACTGAAAAGGGACAGAAGATACTATAACTGTGCAGAATGAAACTCGACTGAGAAAGGAGTTTTGCATGAAAACAACTGGAAATGGCTGTGTGAAAGCAGAAAAATGCCAATACCATCACTGACTCCTGATATAGGGGGTTGAAGAAATCTAACTTCACAGGCCAAGGTGACACAAGAGAAAAACCAAAGGGCTGGGAGGAAAACCAGCAGACTGTGGCATCACAGAAGCAAAGAGAAGAAAGAATATGGTGGACAGTGTCAAGCGCTACATAAAGGTCAAGACAGAATCAAAACATGTCCACTGAATTTGGTGAGCAATGGAGACAGAAGCCAAATGACAAAACATTAAGAAGTGATTGCAAGGCGAAACTGAGACAGAAAGCAAAGGCAGCTCCTGTGCGTGAAGCAAGCTAGAGAGGGATGGATTTAAGAAGGACGTTAGTGAAATTAAAGACACCAATGTAAATGCCAATGGCAAACACCCCCTTGAGAGAGAGAGACTGAAAATACAGAAAAGAAAGGAAAATAATAATAAAAGTTCCTTGAGAAGGCAGAGGATGTGGAAGCCAAAATATAACTGAGTGATTAGTTTTAAGAACCAGATGCTTCCACTGTTGTAGTAGGAGGGAAGGAGGAGGGAATCGATCAGGTTCAGGTACCTCTGCAGACTGGGAGAGAAGAGCTGAGAAACTTCTGTTAGGTGGCTTCCATTTTGTTTGTGAAATAAAAGCAGAGGTAATCCACCAAGAGTGAGAGGAGGGGTTGGGAGTCGGGGGAAGAAGTGGAAACTTTGAAAAGAATAGAGGTTTGACATAGTCAGTGAGAAGAGGAGGAGAAGGATTTCCGTGGCGGGTACACCCTATTGTGAGATTTTCTCCAGCACCAATGAGGTGTCGGGGTTCAGGCACTAAGAAAGCAGATGGCTGATTTTGCCTGGGCTGTGTATGGTATGACAAACGAGAGGTGAAAGGAAGTTTATAGTTTGGGTGAGAGAATAACTAAAGTGATGGTCATTACTCTAAGCTGGATAAGAGAGTGAATGAAGACAGGAAGAGGCTGATGGGAAGTTGATGGGTCAATGGGCTGCAGAGCCAAAGAGAACAGTGAGCAGACTGAAAAGAGAAGAGATGGCTGGCTAATTTAAGGTGGCTGCCTGAATTGGTCACTTTGGAGGGAGAACAGTTTCAAACAACAAGAAAATCCAGGATGTGAGTATATGAGTGGGTGGCTGGGGTGAAGGGGAGGCAAAGACTATTGCAGCTGTGACGGTCAAGGAGAAGTTATTCATAACACCATAAAAGTCACCTAAGATAGTAGGAGTGCCAGGAGTGGAAAGGGAGACACAGAGTCAGGGGGTAAAGTCTCAATGACTGAGGAATGACAGATGGGCAGAAGATAACAGCATCAAAGCACTCTTAATTCCAGGAAGGTAAAAGCTTAACCAATCAGAAACTATCATAAATGATTCAAGTTATTAAAAGCTCTGGCTCTAGACTAAGCGGATCTGGGCAAAATTGGAACTATACCTTACCTCTTTTCCATCACTTTCTCAAGACTGCTAAAAAGACTCATAGTAGAAATAAGTTAACAGGGATGGTGTGCAGAAAACAGTTTACATTTTAAGCCTGAGACTGCTGTGTAGAAAAGCCTGCATTCAAGGTTGGCCCGTGGCTGGCATCTAGAACTTGGACTTTGGGAGGGTTACTATCACCCTAACTGATAAACGTGGACAAACTGTTTGTACAATGTGCTTTATGCTGAACACCTGCCATCCGTCTGAGAGTCTGGAACTTTGGTATATGCTGTGCCTACATGATCAGCCCCCAGTAAAAACCTCGGGCACTGAATCTCCAACAACCTTGTCTGATAGACAGCATTTCACACGTGTTGTCACAACTCACTGCTGGGGGAATTAAGTGTGACTCCACTGGGAGAGGACTCTGGGAGCTTGTGCCTGGTTTCTCCTGAACTTCTCCCTCTCTCTTTCCTTTTCCCACTGCTGATTTTGCTTTGTATCTTTTGGCTGTAACAATCGTAGCCATGAGTACGACAATGTCCTGAGTCCTGTGAGTCCTCCTAGTGAATCATCAAACCTGGGGCTCTTGGAAACCCCTGACACACATGAGTTTCTGTCTTCGCTGGAAACTGTGGTTAACAAGCAACAAGCAATGCCAGTAACATCAGCATTTTACCATGAAATGTCCTGAATGTGTTCCTGTAATTATAGATTTCATATACAAATTAAATTCACAGTTTACTACACCAACTCTTCAGGAAAAAGATGTGAGGAACAGCCACATAAGTGGTACAGCTCTTCATCACAAAGGGCTTAGAACATATTCCTTCTGTGCCACCCTGAGCACTATGATTCAGAACATGACTTTCCCAGGTTTGAATCCTGGCCCCGCTGTGTATCACCGGGCAAGTTAATATGTCTGGCCTCGGTTTCTTCATCTGTAAAATTAGAATAATAATAGTATCTATTTCAAAGGGAGTTGTAAGGATCAAATGAGTTCATATATAAAGTACTTAGAACAACATGTGGCATATAGTGCTATATATTATTATTACCTCATATTCCAACTCCAGATTTTTATCTTTTGTGGCTTCAATTGTATTGATAGTATTACCTCTATATATTAGGTCTGTTAAATTTTCTAAAATATAAGACTTTTTTAAAAATTTAAGCTACAAATAATAAAAACTAAACTACAAAAGACAGAAATGTTTTGGTCTCAAATGACAGAATTGAAATTAAATCTTGGGAGTAAACCCTACTCCAACATAAAAGCTTCTTTCAATACAAGAACATAAGAATGAAATCTAAAACAAAAACTGTCACTTGGTCACTCAGGTAGTCTTTCTGAGAATGACTCAAGTGTATGTCTCACCTCCTGAAAATTCCAAAGAGAGTAGACATAGAAGCAAAGGTGGAGCCAGAGCCAGAGCAGTTGTAGCCCAGGAAGATGAAGATCATATCAAATAACCACCCAGAGGCCCCAGTAAATGCCAGGCAACTGTTTTTTCCTGCCCATATGTATTTCTATATTCAATTTATTAATATCCACTTTACAAGATAGCCTATCACTCCCGCCCCACATTTAAAAAAAGTCTGGTGTGTTATGCCTGAATTATAAAGTGTGTGCTGCAAGACTTAATTGGTTCAGTAGTCTTCTAGGTTCTAATTGCACAGTTCACCTAAGTCTGCACCCTTAGAATAAAAAGAGGGATCCTAGTAGAGAGACAGCACCAACCAGCCACACTTATAAAATCCCTGTCTTATTCCAAGTCTGATTAAAGAAAAGCTTCCAAGTGACCACTGTGCAACCAGAAAATGAGATAATTATATTAAGCTGGGGCTGGCCTGGTGGGGTAGTGGTTAAGTTCGTGCACTGTTTCAGTGGCCTGGGGTTTGTGTGGATCCTGGGCACGGACCTACACACCGCTCATCAAGCTATCCTGTGGCGGGCTCCCATATACAAAAAAGTAGAGGAAGACTGGCACAGATGTTAGCTCAGGGACAGTCTTCTTCAAGCAAAAAGAGGAAGATTGGCAACAGATGTTAGCTCAGGGCCACTCTTCCTCACCAAAAAATAAAAATTAAAAATTAAAAAATAAAAAAAAAGAATTATATTAAGGTTTTCAAATTCTAGATTTTCAGTTATTCAGCACAGAGGAATAATCACATGTACTGTCATAGTAATAAGTAATCCATTACTAACTTCTATTATATGGGTGCCTAGGACTTTGCCCTAAAACCTGCCAGGATTTCAGAGCCATTGATGACAGGCAACCTGGTGTCTCATTTGAACCACAATCCATGTGGCTGGTTTCCTCTATCCAGATGGCTGAGACCATCACTGGGAAAAGTGCTTGCATGGATAACATATCACTGGCAACATAACTAATTAGGAGAATACTGAAATCTAGGCCAAGAAGGGTGCCTCTTGAGGCTCAATTCACATGGTAAATGATGACTGGCATTCCCCTGAAAACAAGCTAAATTAAGCCAATTCATTTTACCTCTCTATTAACATACTCCACAGGAAAATAATATACCAGATGAAATATCTCTTTTCTAGGTAAGGAGAAGTCAAATTTCCAAAGCATTTTGAATAGTGAATAAATTCAAACTCACCATTGCAAATACACTGACAGTTGGTTTCTTTTCTTTCTTCTCATCTTTTTTACTGAAAAACATAGCAATAAAATTACACAAAACTTTAAAATTTATATAATTTTTTAAATTACCAAAGTAACACAGAGTTTATATTTAATAACAACTAGAACAAAGACACATATCTACAATATATTATTCAGTAAAAACCAGAAAGGTTAATAGTATGGTCCCATTTATGAAGTTTCAATATAAATATGTTTACACGTATCTTAGAAATCCACACATGTAGTTATCACTGGGTGTTGCGATTTCTATCAAAATATTTTCTTCCTTGTGCCTTTGGTATTTCCTAATTTTCTATGATGAATACACACAGACACACAACTTCTGCAATTAGAAAAAATAATACTAAAAAGAGCTTCCTGGTTTTATTCTAATTACAAAATCATTCACGGTCTCCAGAGTTAATCCTCTGAATTATCATCTCAGACACTCTATCTATCTACTACCTAGATATTATCCTTAATCATTCCCTTTACTAACGGAGAGTAGTGGCAATCAGATGCTGGGCATAAACTAACCTGGAAGAAAGGTAATTAAATCACTTTCTATGAACAAATCTAATTCTGAAAGCATGTCTGGAGCCCTAAATGGACCATTATGGCAATAAATGCAATCTAGAAAAGCTACAGTCAAAAAAGATGGTCTGTAAACTATCAAAAAGCTGTCTTCAGGGATAAAAAGGTCAATAATTATTTTGAGCCCAGATTCAAATGAATGTAACTCTGTCACCCAGTTTCCACTCTATGTAACTGCCACTGAGGACATGAGAGCAAACCAACCACAAGCTGCCTCTGCATCTGTTTTTTGTTTTGTTTTGTGTGTGTGTGTGTGTGTGTGTGTGTGTGTGAGAGAGGAAGAATGGCTCTGACTAACCTCCACTGCCAATCCTCCACTTTTTGCTGAGGAAGATTAGCCCTGAGCTAACATCTGTACCCATCTTCCTCTATTTTGTATGTGGGACACCGCCACAGCATGGCTTGATGAGTTGTGTGTAGGAAGCAGAGCCTGAGAACTTGCCTACTATGCCACTGGGATGGCCCCCCTCCGCATCTGTATTTTTACACATACAAAAGAAAGACAATTTCAGAGAAGAATCTCGTTATCTTTACTGAGATTTTCAAGTTCCAAAAGTAAATTAATCTGTCTTTGTTTTTCACACTAAGCAAGGTCAAAGAGTTGAAGAGACTTCTACAGAAAAGAATCCAGAGTTTACCCCATATTTGGCTTTGGAGCACTGTTAGATGGACATAAAAACACACAAAATACACAAACACAACTCTTAGATCCGGTCCCAACATAGTCCCAGTAAAGGCATGGTTTCAGTATCCCTGGCATCAGGATGAGGGGAGCAAAATAGCCAAACATAATTGAATTTTAGCTCTAAGCTTTGTATTTTTAATTTTTTCGTTCTCTAAAACACCGGCTACTCTGGAGAATTTATAATGTTCCAGCCTCTGGCTAAGTAAACACTTCCCACACACGATCTCATTTAATCTTATCTTAATCTCTGTGGGGCAGCCGTATTTTTGTCCTTTTAGAGATGAGAAAACTGCAGGTGAGAAGAGTTAACTGACTTGTCCAAGGTCACATAGCTAGAACAAAGCCAAGATTTAAACTGAAAAGTCTGTCCCCTAAACACCAACATATTCTGTGCAGCCTCAGACTTCAGAGATACTGCACTGCGTGGAAATGCACTTCCTCACTGGCTTTCCTCCCTACTAGATTACTCATTTTATCCCCATCAGCTCAAAACAGTGCTCACAAAAGGCAAGTCGCTTATCAAACCTCATTTTAATGAGGAATCTTTACAAATACAGATATTCCAAATGGTACTATTATCCAAGCATTATACCTATTAGCAAAGCCACATGCTTTTTTATAATTCCAAATTAGAATATATAGTTTTAAAAAAATACCCAAACTCATAGAAAAAAACATCAGATTTTTGGTTACAGACGGGGAGGGGGAGGGGTTTGGAGGAAGGTGGTCCAAAGGCACAAACTTCCAGTTATAAGATAAATAAGTACTAGGGATGTAATGTACAACATGATGACTATAGCTAACACTGCTGTATGACATATAGAAATGTTTTTAAGATAGTAGATCCTAAGATTTCTCATCACAAGGAAATTTTTTTTTCTTTTTTTTGTTTTTTATTGAATTTCTATGAGATGATGGATATTAACTAAACTTGTATAATCATTTCACAGTATATGTAAGTCAAACCATTATGTTGTACACTTTAAACTTATATAGTGCTATATGTCAATTCTATCTCAATAAAACTGGGAAAAAAGAATATATAGTTTTATTGAGAACAGATAAAAAAAGTCAATGACAATCAGCACAGTTTAATAAGAACTACTTAACTAAAAAAACAATTTCTAGTTTGAAAAACATTCTGTAGGCCATGATAAGAACTAATAATAAAATGAAAGTATCTGCAGGCTCAAACAAATTTCTTTACCATTTCCCTACACATACCTTCAATACTTCCTACTCCAAAATCCTTAAGTGTCTGTGTCATAAGTATATAGTTCTTTAAGGTACCAAGTTAAAAAAAAAAGTTAAAGAAAAATGGAAATATCTACCTTTCACTCTATGAAGTCTTTTTTTCTTTTTGTTTATATGAAAAATTTTTCTTATGAAAATTTTCAAATAAACAGAAAAACTGAAAGAATAGTCATAATGACTACCCATATAAAATTCACCTAGATTCAACAATGGTTAACATTTTGACCATATTTCTTTATCTATATAAAGAAGTATACATGATCACTGTTAATATTTTGCTGAACCATTTGAAAGTAAGTTGCAAACATCATGGCACTTCATATGGTTTCTTACCATTATCCCATCTGAGAAAATTAATAGCAATTGGGATATCATCTAATATCCAATCCACATTCAAATTTCCCAAGAATGTTTTCTACAGGTTTTTCCTTTTTTGAACACTGATGTAATCAAGGTTCAGGCATTACATTTGGTGGTTTTCTCTTTAGTCTTTTTTTTTTTTTTTTTTCCCCATCTAGAAGTCCTTCTGCAACACCCCCAACATTGACTTTTTGTAGGAACAAGAACCAATGTCTTAGAAAGTCCCACATCTTGAATATGTCTGTTTCAAACTGAGTCCAAATTGAGATATGCAGTATAAAATATACAGATTTGAGGACTTAGTGTGAAAAAGGAAATGTAAACCATCTCACTAATAATAATTCTACTTACATGTAGAAATGATAATATTTGGGATATACTCTGTTCTTTAAAATATATTTTCAAAATTAATTTCACCTGTTTCTTTTTACTTTTTTAATGTTGCTGCTAGAAAATTAATAATGATAAATGTGGCTCACATTATATTTCTATTGGACAGCGTCAGTCTAGAAACTTGGTTGGATTCAGACTAAATGTTTCTGCAAACATACTTCCTAGATGTGTCACTAACTTCCTAGATTTCCTGTCACTAACACAGTCTGTTCCACCATGAGTGATGCCAGGTCTGATCACTTGGTTATGGTTGCTAACTGCCGAATCTCTCCACTAGAAAACCACACTTTCTTTTCTCCAATTAGTAAGAATTTTGGATAATTCCTAGTTACAACTTTTCTCTGAGTGGTTTAGGATCCATTAACAACCCTTGCCTGAATCAATTATAACAATGCAGGTTCCAATATGATAGCTGGCATTTTTCTGTAAAGAATGTTCCTTTATTCTGTCCACCTCTCCCATCCTTTTAGTTTTCCTCCCCTTCTCAAAGTTTTAGTAAGGACTCATGGATTGTACTGTATTCAATGTTTCATAATCAAGTATTGTCATTATTCTTTTTGATGCTCAAATTGTCCCAGACTTGGCCAGTGGAAGCCCACTCAAGTCAGCTACTGTGTCCTTTTTGACTATGCCATAAAACTCCACTTCCTTGTTTTCAGGTACTACAAGATACTCCAGGCTCATTTTGTATTTTCCCGGCCCCAGACATGGTTGGAATTAGCCATTTCTCTGTGGAGTGTGGATTCCTTTTAGTGAGGAATGGTATATAGAAACCAAGATATGGCACTAAATGTGCTCATTACTACTGTCCCTTACAGTGGACAGAAAGAGAGAAACAACTATTTAAAAAATCAGGATTTCATATTGAAGTTTCCCATTCAAATTTAACATTTTTAAAAATCTTTTTTGATGTTCACTTTGTATTTTTTTTCCCACACTGAAAAGCTTGGTTTCTAATAATATTAATATAGTTACTAATTTGTTTTATTTTACAATTTATATTAGAGTTTACTACTAACAATGAACCTACTGTGTGAAGTTTAAAATTTCCTGTGTAGAGATTTACATAAAGTAATTATCTTCCCTATGTGGTTACATTACCACTTCTATATACAATCAGGATAATTTCACACCATGCTAGCTTCTTTGGTACTGCAGTCTTCTCTTTTCAGAATGTCTTCTACAAGAGCTTCAGAGTATTCATTAATTTTACAAAATTAACACCTAAACGTAGTTTTGGCCTGCTGTCCCATCTGCCATGCCACAAACTTACAATGTTTATGTGGCTGTTTGACCAGAAGCAAGAGACTGGACCACAGAGCAGAGCACAAGCAGCACACGGTCCAGGCGATCAACTTCGCTGATAAAGCAGAAGGTTGTAAAACACAGAAAACACATTGGCTTGTCTGCGGCCTGAAGCTGAAGCAGCAGCTCACCAAGGCGATGTGCTCAGCTCAGCCAGAGAACTTCTACATGGCAACCGCTGGCGTCTCAGATAAGAGTAAAATCATCATCATCATCAACTCTTCATTCATTTCAGAGCTGGAGGCTAGAAACAAATCGGCCAAATCTCTCAAGCCACGCAAAGTATGAAAGTAAAACAAACTGGCTACCTTTTTTCGTTAATTTTCAAGAAGTTCTTCTTCCCCCTTCTTCCACTGCGGCCTCCTTCAAGATCCATCGTGACCTGAGGAGAAACCACAGCCCATTAGACACACGCATGGTCCGCAGGAGGCGGAAGCGAGACTGAGCTTTACGCCCCCGCGGAGCCCGGCGAGCGGGGTCCCGCCCTGATGCTCTAGCTGCTCGGGCCGCGAAGGTCTCCGCAGGGGCCGCCTGCGCGCCGGGGCTCCGGCCTCTCGACGCGCGCCGAGTTGGAGGACGGCGGCTGCTCTGACTTTGCCTGGCGCCGCTGTGGCTCTCCCTCCAGGCTCCCCTCGCCGCGGACGACGCTCCCTCCGTCCACCCTCCGCGGGATCAGAGGCCGGCTCCCCGCACCGCGCTGGCCCTCCGCGCTCTGGGCAGTGTCAGCCGGTGCGCGCGGCTAGCGCCGAAAACTGAGGGCTGGTGGAGCTCCAGGGGCTCCCCGAGTGAGACCAGGTCTCACCCCACTTGGTCCCCATGGACTTGCCGATTGAAATCTCCCATCGCTTCCCCCGAAGCCCTTCTCCCGCAGGGACCAAGCTCAGGAAATTGGAGAGCCCGACCCTTCCTGAGAACCGTGCCCACCAAGTCCCTAGCTTCGCGCACCCCTACCTCGGGCTGTGCCCGGGGCGTCCACCGACAAGTGGATTTTGGAAGAAGAGATTCAGACTTGAGCTGAAAGACAAGGCGGGTGCGAACAGCGCCCCGGCTTCTTGGATGCTGGAGGAGCTGCTGCTCGAATGAGCCCAGTCTTCCTGTAGATAAGGGAGTGAGGAGGGGTGCGCAACCCACACCCCGGCGCTGCTCTGCCCAGCCAATCAGCCTGACCGCTCAGGATGACTCCCGGCCCCGCTAGATTGAATGATTATTGCACAAGTTACAAAACAGGTTGGAATTCCAGTAGGAATGCCCTCACTTCTTTTGTCCCTCAGCTAAAGGGCGAGTAGAGAAACGCATTATCAGCAGAATCATCCGGGACACTTAGGTGTATAGAGTCATGTCTGTACCCGTCCACGTAAGTCTCCATATCCACAGGAGTATGTTTATGTGGATATACAATTGCCCCTGGATCTCGAGTGGATAGGGGAAACTTTCTTTGGCATCGCGTCTAATACACTTAATAAAACAACCTCCAACCTCGCCCATTCTGTGGTTAAAATGAGTTCAACTTTCCTCCTAGAAGCACCTTTAAAAAGGCAAAGTGAAATGTTTCTACAAGAGTCTTTCTTCAGTGTGTTTGACAGTTTCTGAGGTGTACCTGTGCATCTTTTATTTGAAGATAAATGGAAGGAAATAAATAGAAAGGTTTTTAAATATGTAAATAAGACATTTCAGGGTAGAAAGAGTATTTAAAAGTATGTAATATTTTCAAATTTTAGCCATCAGATCAATGCCCATGTTTCTCCCAATGTATTTCAAAACTCTTACATTTTATTTCAGATTATTAAAGTAAGTATCGTGTATCTGAGCGTATTACTTTAGCTGTAATTTCATTCCATATTTACTGCTACCATTTACTATTTTTTCTTGTCCACTATTTTCTACATTGATGAAAAGTAAGTGCAACCTTCACAATTCAAATTCATAAAGCAGTTGATTCACATCAGAGCTTTCTGTACTTCTTATAAATCTAGGGAAAATAGATGGTTTTGTGACTTTTAGTCTGCATCCTCTGACTTACACGCGTTGAAACTGTCGGCTCACTGCAAAAGTTTAAAAGAAAATGTTTTTATTTTCTACTGCAAAGTGTGAGTATTCTCCCTCCTTTCTTTAAGTAAATCATACTTCAAAGCCATGATTTTCTTTCCATCCTTTACTCCAAATTTTCCTTGCCTGGATTTTTTTCTTAGCCATACAATCAGGTTTCTTTCCTCACAAACTGTTAATTAGGCTTTCTAACAGGCCACTACTTTTCTCTATGTTCCAATTGGATATGCGTGTGTACTGCATTGGTTCACTGCTTAAAGGCTTAACGTCAACCCTGTGGCCCACCTGGGGCAAATGTATAAACCTTTCATCTTCCTTAGATGCATTTTTATTCTGATTCATGCCTCTGCTCTCTGTTTTACTTTGTCCCACCTTTAGTTTATGTGATCTTATTATGTTTTATATATATATAAAAATATACGTAACATTATGTGTATTTATATTTATCATGTAATATATAATTTATATATTTATATTTACATATTATAAATATATTTATATTTATTATAAATATATATTTATCCTTGTAAACTGCCTTAAATACTCTCTAAAACAATGCAGGATATTTTAAAAAGTATTATATTATGCCAATTATACTACTTCTACAGACTTGAGTTTCAAGTGAAAATCTCTGTCAAGGACATACATAGTTTAAGGATCAGAATAGCCCAGAGAATTGTTAATAAAGCTCTGTCTTTCCAATATATTTTTTTGAATTTCTTTGCTCTACTGACCTGAAAATATGGATATAAAACATGATGGACCTAAAACAATGGACAATTCTAGCCACGTCCAAGCCACAGTCCTTGACTTCTCTCAGACGTTGACTCCTGGCTCCCGTTACTGCCCACCACTCCTGGTGATACCTAACGTCTGGACTAGGCAGCGTCTCTGGGAGCTTCATTAATTTCCGGTGAAACCCAAGCAGCCCCTTTCCAAGTCTTCCCTCGCACACCTTCATTCAAGCAGCTATTTTTCCTTTTTGACGTGGCTTCCCCGTGATTCTGCACCTTCCTGTCCTCCACCGGCGTGTAGTCCTTTCTCCACCTTGTCTGTACTCTCCCAACGCTCAAGACTTGTGTCCCTGCTGCTGTCTATCCTATACATACCTGTGGGGTAATAGTAATAAGTGACATTTAACAAAACACTGGCCTTGTACCAGATACTGTCCCACGCACTTGAAAGAGATGAACTCATTTAATCCTCACAAGAACCCTAAGAAGTAGGTAGTATTGTTGTTACTTCTACTTTACGGTGGAAGAAACTGAGGTTTATGTTATTTGCCCAGAGTCACAAAATTGGTAAGCGGCTGACTCAGGGCTTGAAAGCAGTCCAGCTCTCACAACTGCACTCATCACCACTAGCCTACGCTGTAGTGCACTCTTATAGCACATCTACTGCACTGTCTTTTCCAGCCCCATGAAACATTTTCGTCTTATGACTCCATTTTAGAACGCCTGCAATGGCTCCCTACCTCCAACTGCATCATATCTGAGTTTCCACGCAGTTTTTGAGGACTACAACACACTACCTCTCTCTGACCTTCCTCATCCACCTCACTTTTTTTTTTTTTTTTTTTTTGTGAGAAGGACCAGCCCTGAGCTAAGATCCAATGCCAATCCTCCTCTTTTTTGCTGAGGAAGACTGGCCCTGGACTAACATCCGTGCTCATCTTCCTCCACTTTATACAGGACACCGCCACAGCGTGGCCCAACAAGCGGTGCGGCGGTGCGCATCTGGGATCCCAACCGGTGAACCCGGGGCCACCGCAGCAGAGCGCGCGCACTTAACCGCTTGCGCAACTGGGCCGGCCCTCCACCTCACTTCTTATACACTCTCCCTCGCCCCCAATACATGCATACCTGTTCATTCCATTTCAGCCCAACTCACCTCTCAGGTGATTTGCTCTTTTTTTCTACTCTGTGCCTTTCCACATGTAAATCTTTAAACTAAATTGATTTACAACAATTTTCTTTTTCAGTACCTGATGCCAGTAAACAGTTTGGGTTTTAGAGTCAGAAAACAGGTTCAAGTACCATTTCTGTTTTTGCTCTGTAGGTTTGAACAGCTTATGTAACTTTTCTGCCTTTCAGTTACCTCTTAGGTAAAGAGAAGGTAATAACAGTACCTTATAGTATTATTGCATATTAAGTCATTTGTGTGTTTAAAAGGCTTGTGCAGTGCCTGAACCACCCCAAACACTCAACAAGTGCTATGTGTTAGTAATGATACCCCCTTCTCAGTCTATTCTTGCCCTTCCTTGGCATTCTTCAGGACTCATGTATGTAGCTCCGTTTGTTTTTTCTCTATTATTTTCAATAGAGTAATAGAGAAAAAAGCCAATACCTAAATAATAAAGAAAATGAACAAATAAAATACCATTTCACACCTTTATTTATTTTGTTTATTTTTATTTTTTGTGTGTGAGGAAGATTGGCCCTGAGCTAACCTCCATGCCAATCCTCCTCTTTTTGCTGAGGAAGACTGGCCCTGAGCTAACATCCATGCCCATCTTCCTCCACTTTATGTGGGACACCGCCACAGCATGGCCGGACAAGCAGTGCGTCAGTGAGCGCCTAGGATCTGAACCCAGGCGGCCAGCAGCAGAGCGCGCACACTTAACCGCTACGCCACGGGGCTGGACCCCCACACCTTTATTGCCATGTAACTATAATCATCTCCAAAGAGGTTATTTCTCTTGACATCCTTTAACTAATGCTGCAACAGCCTCAACTTGGGTGTAATGGTGATCAAATGATAACAAATTGACTTAATTTAAAACTAAGTGATGGGGGCCGGTGCTGTGGCTTAGGGGTTAAGTGTGTGCGCTCTGCTACTGACGCCATGGGTTCGGATCCAGGCGCGCACCAACGCACCGCTTGTCTGGCCATGCTGAGGCGGCCTCCCACATACAACAACTAGAAGGATGTGCAACTATGACATACCACTATCTACTGGGCCTTTGGAGAGAAAAAAGAGAATAAAAGGAGGAGGGTTGGCAATAGATGTTAGCTTAGGGCCGATCTTCCTCAGCAAAAACAGAGGAGGATTGGCATGGATGTTAGCTCAGGGCTGATCTTCCTTACATAAAAAAAAAAAAAAAACTAAGTCATGTAACCATGTGTCAATAATGGCAAATGGAAGCCTGAATTTTACTCCTCCCTGAACCCTTCTCTGTTTACACTAGCCAGAAGTGATTTCTACGCCTCCCCAATTCTACTGCTCATTATCCATACCTCTCATTTCGTATTTATTATTAATGTTTTACGTGATTATGAATTTCTTTTTATGTTTTAACAGTGCAGCAACTTGCACAAAATAAAGATTCAATAAATGTTGTCGAGGGGGCCGCCCCCTGGCGTAGTGCATGCGCTCTGCTGCTGGCAGCCTGGGTTTGGATCCCTGGCGCGCACCAACGCACTGAGGCACCGCTTGTCCAGCCATGCTTAGGCGGCGTCCCATATAAAGTGGAGGAAGATGGGCACAGATGTTAGCTCAGGGCCAGTCTTCCTCAGCAAAAAGAGGAGGATTGGCATGGATGTTAGCTCAGGGCTGGTCTTCCTCACAAAAAAAATAAAATAAAATAAATGTTGTTGAAAATATGAGGTGTTGCGAGTCTCATATCAGAGACTCTTTATAGAAGTTAGACTGGTAGGTTAACTGCCTAACTAATCGTTAGGTGCTTCGAAAGTTCTATAGCCTCTATCAGCCTTAAAACTCCTTTAGAGAATCATCCCTCTGAGTAAGTCACTGTCCTCTATTAAAATAAATCCTCCATAATAGCACAAGAAGAATTTTTTAATAAATTACAGAATTAATGGGAGAGAGGACAGGGGAGTGAGATCAAGGGAAAGATGGGAATGAAGTGGGGCTCAGGAGGGTTTAAATTCCCACTTCATCACTTATCAGCTGAGTGGTTTTGGGCAGGTCACCCAGCTTCTCAAAACTTTGATTTCTGCATCATTAAAATGGAGAAAATAACAGAATCCACCTAGTGTTTTAGTAAGAAGTAAATCAGGTAAGATTTGACACGTGCTTGGTATTGAGTAAATAGTATTATTACCCAGATAGCCTATTAGAGATGATCAATGGGATACCAAGATAGGAGTAAAAATCAAGAACTTGAGTAAAAGTGTAATCACTGGAAAGGGCTAGTGATGCATGGAAAGTAAATAATAACATGGAAATAATTATAATAAAATAAAGCTAAAAACATAAAAA